GGGAATTGCTGCTTTTCTGTTGAAATTAGTGCAGTTTTGGGATTTTGGCTGTGTTTCACTATGACATTTAGGACAAAGTGACTTCTGCTTGTTTACAGGGCCAAACAGCAACCACAATATGCCCATGCACATGAATAATGTAATACACATGCACAAAAAACTTATGTGAACTAATTGAACTTAAATTAATTATTCCAATTTGTCCAGATCATTTTGAATTCCAGTCTTGATCTCCAAAGGCTCTGTAATCACACCCATCTTGATGTCATTTTGACTTTAGTAAGTGACCTCTGAGTTTTATAATCCAAGTCATCAAAAGGGCAGAGTTTCATCAGACTCTTCTAAAGAATCCCAGAAGCTCACAAGGGATTTGTCGATTGTTTATTTTTAAACTCATCAAAATCAAACACATACTAGTCCTCAGTGAGGCTACATTGTTCTTAAACTTAATCTTCCAGATTTTTTCTTGTTGTTCTGTTAAAAAATAAGGTCATTATTATTGCCTATATATTATAGGACAACTGCATTTTTGACCATCTCAATTAAAAAATCATAGTGGATTTTTCCTCATACTTAAGGAATAAAAGCTGCACAGTGAAAATGTCTGCCTTGTCCAGATTTTTTCTTTGACTAGCATGAAAAAACTAAGTAGTTATAATGAAAAACTTATTTTAGTTTCAACTAAGACACAAACAATTTGATTTAAAAAAAGCTAAGATAATGAATGCTGCTTCAAGCTTAGTCGAATTTAGTCCTAAAAACGTACCACACTGTCTCTGGAAAGCACCCAAATATTTACATATGTACATCCTTCTCAGGATGTTGCTTATCACTGCTTCACTGCATGCAGTGCTGCCCTAGAACAGCAAAGAATGAATCAGAACTTCCTAAATGGGTTTCCGGAATGTGGTTAGTTATTACTTCAGCTAGGATTCATTCACAAGTCAAACAATTGCTATGAGTTTTAATAACTTGCAATAAAGGCAAAATATAAATCATTGCAAGAGGCTTGGATGCCTTGTGACAGGCACCAGCCAAACAGATTAAATAAATATTTCATGAAAATCCAGGATGGCTAAGAAAATGTCAGCTTTCATACAAGGCAAGGTTCTTGGGTAGATGTGATATCTTTGATTAGATCAACTAAATAGTTGGGGAAAAGTTCTTTGCAAGCTTTCAGGCCCTTCATCTCCATATGCCTGACTAAGCGTGTTTGCGCCCAAAAGCTGGCAAAGAACTTTTTCCAACTATTTAGTTGGACTAATCAAAGCTATCACATCTACCCAAAGAACCTTGCTTGCCTATGTCCTTAGACCAATATGGCTACAACCAACAACCCTGCAGTCTCCACACAAAACCTGTTCATTTAAATCAGAACTGCATGAAGATCAAAGCCAACACTACTATATAACCCCATTAAAATAAAGATAAGTGTGCAGGCTCTGAAGTTGAGAATTAGGGCAGATGTAGATATGTAACAGTTATACTGGTATTAAATTATATCAGTGTAAACAGTTTAGACATAATTGTTGCATCTGTCTACTCCTATGCTGGTATAAAGAGAGCTAAAAGTGCCTATTTTGTCCAGGTTCATTCTCCCCTGACCTTTTAAAATGGTTTAAAGTTTAACCTGTACAGAGCCTGAATTACCTGTCCAGTAGGCAGCAGTAACTGTGTGAGCCCAAAGGAAAGTTATTATATTTTCTTAATTTTAACACAGCAAGTCACTACAAGCCCCTTCCCTCACTTAATATAGTAGTGAGGGATTTATCACTGTTTTGTCAGGGGATGAGATGGTGGTCCAAGGACCCCGTATTAGGGGCTGGAGCATCCTGGCTAGTTAAGTGGATATACATTAAAATGTGGAGCTCATTGTCAAAGATGTGACAGTTTAGTCAGATTCAAAAGGAATTAGGCAAATTCTTGGAGGAAAGAGGCATCAGTAGCTAGTGAGCATGGGAGTTAGGGGTACAGTTTCTGAATCAGAACTTCCTGAACCTTAAATGTTAGAGGCTACAAGTGAGAGAGGCACAGTGGAAAAATCCTGGTCATACCCTTTCATACACTTTACCTTTTAGCATCTACTCTCTGTCACTGTGTGACAGAACGCTGAGCAAAATGGACCTATGGTCTGACTCAGTACATTGGCAGTTCTTATGTTGTGTAAGCACTTGCCTCAAACCTATCTAAATCTTACTGTGTGGACCCACTAAACATTTGTTCTTAAAAGAAAGATCCTTAACATACCCCTGATTTATATGTTAATTATTCAGAAAATGTCTTTGATTCCACAGAAGTGGACATTTAGTTGAGTTCTACTGTTAACAGCATCATGTTCAAAATTTGCTGGTTTTTAACAGTTTTTAATACAACTTCAAACAGTATACACTGAACATCAGAATCTCAGTGTAGGGCAGTTTGTTAAGTGTTTAGACAAAGCATAGTAGTTAGTTTGCTATTTATTTTGGAACAAGTTTGACATTCTTTTTGACTATTATTCATGATACAATGGTTTGTTAAGCATACTGTCAGCTCACTGAACAAACAATTTATCCAGGCACAATCATGCTTCCCAATGAAGCTAATGAAAGCTAATTTTCTCTGAATGATTCACAGTTACATTATCAAGTTTTAAGTTAATAGTTCAGAAAAACACAACCAAATTAAACAAGTTTCAAACATTTTCATTAGCTTACATTTGTAGGAAATAAAACATAATTTATTTGGATATTGCTGTAACACAAAGGCACTTGCAAGCTTTAAGACACATTATAGAGGCTTTAGTCTGTGAAGTATTAATAAAAGGCAGAAGCAGAAAAAGAAGCTCAGATTTTGAGCGCTTCCTGCAACAAATACGTTTGTAAATTGTAACCATGCATGCATGCACAAATCTCAGTGTACAAACTGGACATGCATATCAGAGAGTGTCACGAGGCTTAATTCAACCTCTCAGTTGTGCTCCAAGGCCCCCATGTAAATGAAGACAGGATGGGATCTGATGTGGGATCCTCACAATCATGCTTCCTGACATGCCACATGGGCATGGCAGTAGGTGTGATTGTGGGATTCAGTATCAGATCTCATTACACCTTTTTGCTTGTGCATGATCCCAACTCCCCCTGTACCAGCAAGTAGCAAAGTATTTATAAGTAGTAAATCCTCTTTATTTATTACTCATATACAAGTGGTAAATAAAAACTGCATGAGAGAGGAAAACCCTGTCTTCCTCTCCACCCATCAACTGCTTGGGAACAATAATGTAAGTTAACTATCTACCTCAGACTAACATGGCTAATTATCTCTACCTGCTCTTTAGTACATGAAGGAACTACATCCTCTACAAAACCTAAATAACTGTTTACAAGTGAGATTCCCACAGACATAGATACTACTGCAGAGTACTGAGAAGACCACACAGAAAAATCAGGGTAAAAATACGAAACTTTACTGAGAAAAACCAAATTAATTCCACACAAACATCTAATGAGAAGGTTATGAGATGGGTGGCTTTGTGCTGCTGAGGCACAATGAAACACTCACATCATGAAACCCTTCTTCACGGCCAATACTTTTGTTGGTAATTCAGCAGAAAATTAGGAAGTAAAGTAAATTAAAGGACAAGGAAAATGAATTAGCTTCTAACAGCAGGCTGAGGCATGCTGACAGCAGTTTGTCTAGCTCTCTCCAGGCTGTGCATATTCTGTGAGTGAATAGAAGGCCTATAGTCTACAATCATGCTCCATCTTTGATCAGGTACTAAATGGACTTAAAGCCAATATTCAATATATTTCTATAATGGGGGGGCGGGGCGGTCCTAACATGGAGTGAGTGGGCACCAGTTTTATGGAGCAATGAGATCAGTTCAGCTTTTAAAGTACAAAACTTCCTCTATATCTCTGGGAGTGTGATATTTGGGGTGACTTCAAAACAGGGAATCAACATGTCAAGGAGTTTTTAAGGCTTTTCCTACATTGACCCTTGTGCTGTGGTAATCATGCCTGGAAAGAATTTAACACAAAATCAACTTAAAAAATGAATAAAGTATGAGCACTATGTATGCAGCTAATACTAGCAACCAGTACATTTAAATTGTTTTTAACACCCTGACCGCTCATTAAAAACACTTCTTGCTTACTTCCATGATACAGAAACAAATATAACTTCAAGTGTTTTTTAAAAAACATTTTTTTGTTTTTGCTACCTCCATATCATACTGCTGTACTATGTAACCTGTACTATGCAGGTGGCAAAGCTCAATATCCTAAAGGGTTTCATGAGGGGAAAAAATATAGAAAAGTGTAAGATTTTTTCTTGTGAAAGTTTTGTTTCATTTTTCCCTCCTCACTTCCCTTTCTCATGCAACAGTCAACTAGCTAACTACCTGCCCAGAACAAGCAAAGTCATTCCTAGGTATATAACTACTATATGAAGAAGACAAAAATACCTAGCAATCCACGTTAAAAATAAATACCATGAAAAAAAAATTCTGCAAGCCCTTCTTTCAAACTTATAAAAAGAACTATTCTGTAGTCATTGTATTATCCATCTTTATCTCAGCATCAAATAATAATAATAAAATTAAATTCCTGAACAGAGCAGGTTGCAAATTTTTTATTAGCGAATATTTATTGGTTAAAAAATTTCAAGCAGTTTTTTAACAAGCAAAAGTAAACATTTTCTATGAAAAATTATTCTGTATTTTCCAGCAACTCTGAACAAGAGCAAGATAAAAGATCTAATACTACACCTTTGTATGAGTAATACCATTCAGTGTCTTTACATATGCTCCAGTGTGTGTATGTGGGAGAGGGCTTTTAATTAGAGTGGCTTCGAGAGCCACTCTAATTAAAGCATTTGCACTGTCATGTGTGTTCAGCGTTCTGTGCTTCAAAATGGCAGTGGGGCACTTTTACTAAGGCTCGTCAAACGAGCTTTAGTTAAAGCTCTCCCCTGCTGCCATTTTGAAGCATGGGGACGCTGAATACACATGATGTGGAGGCTGTTGGAGGGTGATAATTAGCACGCTCCAGCAGACTCCATCAAGTCTGCTCCATGTGCTAATTAGCATGCCTCAGAGCAGATGTCTAGCGCATATACATGTGCCCATTGATTACTGAGCTAAAAATTACACAGTAAGCTACTAAATCACAAGACAGATCTGAGCTGAATGTGAATTATTTGACCTTTTGGCAGGAAGTGATACACATAAACAGACAGGGTCCAACTTCTGTCATTATCAGAGTCAGTACAGCTCCTATGTCTACAAAAAGTTACCTCTATATTTGCCATTAAAGAACACACTTATAAAATATTTAAGCTAATACATTTTCATGGAAGCCTCAAAGAGAGCAGCTAAATCTTCTTCAGTCTGGGGTCGTGGTGATAATTTAGTCACTCTTTCCTGAAAGATAAAGGAAAAATCTGGATTAAATTGGATTGAGTAAAGCTTTGGGTAAAATCACCAGTAGTTGAAGAAACAGTAGAATCACATCCATCTGTAGTAATGACTGAGCCTATCCCCCATTGCAGAATTTTGCAAAACTGTAAGCAAAGAAAAGAAACAAGGCTAACAGATCAGAAACTACTGCCAGTACTCATGTTGATAAATATATTTTAATTTATATTACTTCTAAGCACACTACTAACACACACACACACACACACACACACACACACACACACATACACACACACTTTGTTAAGAGATTAAGTACAATAGTAATGACCCTTCCTCTAAAGCTAGGAAATGTCAAAAATATTAATTACTATCAAGTTTCTGTAAAAGTTAAGTAATTAATAGCGCTGTATGTGGTGCAAGTAATTAATATTAAGAAATTAATATTAAGGTTATGGATGCTCTGGTGTTTGGTACTTCTGAAAAATAGAGCCATGTAGTTTGTTATATATTGGGGCAGGCAATTATTCTGGATGGAAGGCCGCTTACCAAGTTTTGGCAAGCTGTCAAGAGCCGCATGGGTAGCCCCGCCCCTTGACAGGTGCCTCACCCCTTGGCTGCCATCTTTTGACTGGAAGTCCCATCCCTTAACCCCTGACCTTTGCCATCAGAAGTCCCTCCTCTTGCCCCTGTAAGTACTCCTTTTCAGCAAGGGGTTTAGACATCTTGGAACCAGAAAAATACCAATTATATTTTAAAAATCAAACATCTACAACATTCATTAATTTGATTTCAAAAAATATTTTTGTCTTGATTTACATGTGTTTGTGTAGTGTATACAGAGGTGATTGCGTAATAGCTTAAAATGAAGTCCTACTCTTGTGTATTGTGGGAGGGAGTGGGGGGAATGAAGGGGTGGGTATAGGTTTGTGGGGGGCTGTAGGTGTGTGTATGTGGGGTGTGGGGGGTATGAGTGTGGGGTGAAGGAGCATGTGGGTGTGTGTGTGGATATGTGGGGTATGGGTAGGAGTTTGTGGGGGGCTGTGTGTGTGGATATGTGTGTGGGTGGGGGTTTGTGGGGTGTGGATGAGATGGTGGCTGGGGTGTGTGATGGGGGTCTGCATGTATGGCAGTGTGAGGGAGGGTGCATGTGGGACTCACCCTGCAAAAAAACACACACACACACACACACACACACACACACACACACACACACACACACACACACACACACACACACACACACACACACACACACAGAGAGCCATATTTTGCCTGCCCCCGTTATATATGGATGTAGGGGCTCAATTTTTAGCTTTTAGGCACCAAAGTCTTTGGGGTACTGAGAACTCAAATGCCCATCAAAAGCAAAGCAAGCAGACGTTGTGCTTAGTAACATATTTGCAGAATCAAAGGTACAAAAGACAAATTTAAATTTTAATCTCTGGAAGTAAACAGACATGGTAGGACCAAGCAGTGAATATGTCTAATGAATTTTTCGCCTCTGATGAGCTGTATTTATGTTCTAGATCTGTTTGGTTGGAAGGAGTAACCCTGACTCAGCAATGCACTTTAACATGAGTGAAAGTCCCACTGATTTAAACAAAACTTAAGCATGTGCTTCAGTACTCTGCAAGGTAGACAATGTGTTGGGCCTACAGACAGCGGCCAATTCAACAAATTCTACATGTTATTTGGTCTGATGTAACTTGGAAGTGGTCCATAACTGGAACAATAATGCTATGGGCAAGGGCTCTACTTTGCTAAAAGAGCCCTAATTTTGGAAGCATGAGAGTGAGTGCTATGCAAATTCAACAACCAACAGCTTTAACATATTTATTTCAAGATCACACAGAATTCAAGACAGCTACATCAAGTGCAAAGAGCAGATGCAAAGTACGAGGTCTTTGCTATCTAGTTCTATGGTTGAACTATACCAGCAAGTGAGGATGCAGCTTATACCAAGCTACCCATGTGATTGCTTCTACTCTGCCTTCCCAGTGAAATAAATTATAACAGCAAAAGGGCAGTTTTGCAGGCATGACTTTCTATTTAAACTAGGGTTTTTTGCTGGCACATCTACATATTCACCAGATCACATCTCATTCTTTCCCTATCTTGACCAATGTAGCCATGCTGGAGAAGGTTTGTAAGCATAGACATGGCCAAAAAATAACGCTAGATGCCTTACATTGTTAAAGCTGTCAGATCTGTTTTAGCTCATTTAGGGCATTACAGTCCTGCAAATCAGTGCAGCAGTAGGCTGGGCTGCTGGGAGAAGCTGTAATATTTCCAAGGACTCTGGATAAACTAACAAGCAGAAGCTCTTGCTACCCTCTATATATAGATACAGCCTGCATTCCCTTAATACAGAGCTGCTGATATTGCCAGTACACAGGGAGTGTCTCTTCCACTCTGAGTCAGTGAGTTCTGGTGCCAGCCCTAGTCATCCACAACTCCTGTGCCTGCCAGTGGCTGCAGCCAAGTTATGCCCGCTTCTTGTACACTTGCATAGAGGAGTGATGAGGCTAGAGAATGGGCTCTCTGTGACTTCTCCTTTCCACTAGAACACCCACACAGGCCCAGCCACTGCTTGGCCCTTGGAATCTGAACTCCAGATTTCCTGCTGTGCTGTAAAGGAGAATGTTTTCAACAGATTTACTTAAAAATGAACTATTTTGATTTTAAGTGTAAATATTTGTCCCCAAAGACCCCCAAAACCTCCAAAACCTGGTGGTTTTGTCTCCTGGGTGCATGAGTTTTGGGGTGGGAATACATTCTGCAGTTTTATTTGTGGTATCAATCTGCAAGAAAGTGTTTTGCCAGGATTAGAAGATGGTGGTTGTGGTCCAAAAAAACTGATGATTTGATGAAAAGAAAAAAAAATATCAAAGGCTGGACTGTCTGAGATCCCCTATGAGTAATGTACCATGTAGATACATTACACTGCAACTGTATATACTAAGACAGGGTCTGAAAATTGATTGGTTCACCTCATTATTTGTGCAGTTATCAATTAGTACTGCTATAAAAGGACAATAAATTGAAATAAGCTTTTGAATTAAAAGTAAACTTGAGCTGGACAAAAAGCCATTTCAGCAGGGCACAACTGTAACAGCAACCCATCCTCCCTCCTCCCCACAAAAAACCTTAATTGTAAATGTAGCATATTCCATCAAGTATCTGTAAAAGTTAGTATTTTAAAGGATAAAGAGTTTATCAGTAGAAACTTTCAAAAGTCTCCCTGTATGTAAGTGGATAAAGCATAGGGGTGGATGACAGGTGGAGCTGGGTTCAGTCTCTGACTCTGCCACTGCTCTGTGTGTATGGCCAGGAAAGTCACTTCACATTTCTGTACCTCCTTGCCCTGAAATGTAAAATGGGAATCATTCTACTTACCTTCCTTTGTAATGAGCTTTGAAATTTATGGGTAAGGAGAAATAGATGAGTTACAGGGTGCAGTTAAAGGAAGTGACTTGTTTTTCAGCCTGACAAAATTTTTCCTTGATATCATGGGGCATAAAATCATAGGTAGCTGTAACAACATGCAACAAATGAACGAATCTGCCATTTTACAACGGAGTTACCAAACTTTACTTTAGATCAAGTGGACTGAAACATTTTTGTAAGTGTCACAACATAAAGAGTATTACAGGTTTATTCCATCACTCCAGAGGACTTTTTTCAAATTCTGATGGGGGTTGGCAGAATAAGAAAAGAAAGCCATCTGGAAAAAGCATTGCAACTCCTCAGTATGGAGAAGTGTAATGCAAAGCAAGTTTGATCATTCTTAGCAGATAAAGCATCACTTCTAATTTTTTTTGGTTCCATAGTTGGTATAGCTAGCTAAAAATGGGAACCATTTCCACAAAAATATATGGAAACTGTCCTTATTTTTTTCAAAATGTGTAAGTATGAAGTTTTTATATTGGTTTAATAATTCAATCTTCTTTTGAAAGGCAAGTGACTAACAGATGGCAATATGCACTCCATCTTACTGCAAAGAAAACCCTGTGCTAGGAGAAAGCAATAAGTGACTTCATCCATTAATTGCTCCATTGTTAATGGTCACACTGGAGTTCTGGATGCAAACATTTATTTTAAAATAAAAATATCTTCATTTTAAAAGTTTGCTTTTTCAGGGAAAATTGTCTTTGCTTTCTGACTTACCTGAGGCAGAGTGCCTTTGACTAGTGCAGGGATATCAGCTTTAGAGTAACCAAGTGCAGTTAAGCCATCATCAACATTCAGATCAAACAAGAATTTCCGGAGCGTGTCTGCCAAAATAAGCCCTGCATCTTTGATTCTGGCAGTGCGGATGTCAGCTCCTAAAATAAGACATAAAGCCTTGACTGTAGGGTGCAGAGAATGGAGGAAGCTGTTCTGGATTTAATTTAATCATAATATAAGCTGAATACATATCCATACATAACAGCCATCTCTCTGAAAGAAACACCAAGGAAAAAAGAGAGTTCACTGGCTTCAATTTGCAGTTAGAATAGTTTGTATAAATGGGATAAACTAGGTCAGGAGACAGGAGAAGGAAGAGAGTTTCATGTGGCAGTTAGCTTTTCTGGCAGCAGCTAACTTTCTTTCCTCGTGTGCTTGCACGGAGAAGCACTTTTCAGTCGGACTAACTGCTGGGAGCAGTGGCAGAAAAGTAGTTAGAGCAGACTGGTGTCAGCGGATGACCATACTATTTATTTTTATGGACAATGTGCCAAATGCTAATTTCTTCAGTGCCTGGGGTTTGCTGACATCTAGAGCACATGCAAATCAGCGACTAAGGATTTCCTTCCTGCTTCCAAAGTTATGCTGTCCTCTAAATATATGGCAAGAGTGGGTATGGCTTAAGGGACAGAGAAGACATAGGTAGGTGCTCTGGCCAGAGGCATATATGGTGTTTAGATAATATAGTTTACATTACAGAAGATAGGTATGTTTGATAGAAAAGAGGCAACTAAGGTCCTGGAAACAACTGTGAAAAGGAAGTGAAAATATCAGCATTTATAGAAAAGCTGCAGATGATTCTTAAGGCTATTTCTTCCATGTGTATCTGTAGTTCTATCAACAAAGAAAAGAGGTATGTGCATGGGGAAAAGTACTACTCACTCAATTTTTTTAAAAGTCCACTAACACTAAGGGAGACAGTATAGTTTTGGTTAATGATAAATTCATTCTTAAACTTAAATTCTTCATGATTCTTAATGTAATCAGAACAAACTTAGTGGAGTTATATCAGAAATGCATTTGGGCTCGGCTGTTTACTGGAAAGTGAGTAAAGTCCCAACTACAGAAACACCTGTAGTCAAAACTTCCGTATAAACAGCCCAGTGAATATACACACACGTTTTAGGAGACTTAGATGCTTGGAGAGTAAAAATAACAATATAGTGGCAATAGCTCTAAGGGATCAGATGGAAGATGAAACATGACAGGAGCCTTGCATGAAATTTCATGTTACTGGTTTTATGGCCATGCAGTTGGTGGTCATTCTGTGTCTCACTCTATGTCAGGGGTGTCAAACTCATTTGGCTCCATGGGCTGGTGTGCGGCTGGTCCACAGGCTGGATTAGGCCCACAGACCCCTGCCCATGTGCCTGATCCAGCGCCTGCAGCACCTGCCCAAGCCAGTCCAGGATGCTAGCCTAAGACAGCACCATGAGTGGTGCAGCCAGGGACCGGCCCCAATCAGCACTGCATGTGGTGCAAGGCTAGATGATGCAGTGTGTGGGTCAATGAGGCAGCACCAGGGACTGGATTATGGTGCTCTGCAGCCTGGATTCAGCCCATGGGCCATAGGTTTGACACTCCTGCTCTATGGGAATAGAAGGTTCAAACAGTAGGTAACAAAAAAGGAAGGAAAAAAAAAGAATGAAGAAAAGGAAGGAACATCTCTAAAATTAGGCATGAGAAAGATTATGAAAAACACCCTTAAATACTGTCATAGTGATAGTGACCAACAGAATACATCACTTCGCTTGTATCTATACTGCTTCCACACCAGTGGTCACACACAACTATTACTATCATTTAAAAATCCACTAAGGGAGGCATTAAGAGTTTTTTTTTTATTTTTGGCTGCACACAAATCTGCAGCTACACACACATGCATACAGAGGCATACATATACACAATAACTGCTTATTACTCTACATCTACATCATTACAAAGTTTCTTAGTCACTTGAATCACCTTCTGCAATTGATTGGATTCGGGACTAGGATCAAAATGTAAACTCAAGCTAGGAAACAGTAAGTTACTTTATTATCTGTCTATAATAGCAAAGCAAACAATAACCCAAGGAGAGTGGGGCTTTCAAATATTTCTGGCAGTAACTCAGGAATTCCTAGGCTACTTAGCTAAAAAATAAAGACCCTCCCCCAGAGTTCAAATTCCCCTGGTATTATGAGCTGGCCCCTAACAGACATTTTTTCAGTCAACGTATATGCATTTGTATATTACTGATGGGCCCTAGAAATAGCCCTCCTGGATTAGGACTTGTGTACTTCTATATCCTGTCTGTAATTGCAACCAGTACATACAACATGTTGGAGGAAGGCACAACAATCACCATAACCAACAATGATGTCATAATATGCTATAGGGGAAGTTTCTTCCTCATCCCCAGTCAGCCACTGGGTTATGTTCTGAAGCTGGATAGTCTAATATTGTATCTATCTTATGTTAGTGTGCATAGTCATTTACCTAAAGGTGTAACCTTTTCCTGAATCCTACTAAGCTTTTCATACTGTCTCCACTGCAATGACTGCAAAGTAGCACACACATGCTCAACTAACTATCGGTGGAACCTGTAGCTGCCTAGCTACGGCAGCGTGGAGCTCATCATGCGCTGCAAAACCTGTCTGAGAGGCAAGGCAAATTAATCCACACTGAGCTCTAAACCAGTAACAGTGACCCACAGAAGCACTGAGATAGCTCAGATATGTCTACTGTACACTACTGCCACTGTTGACTGCTAGGTGCATGTTCACTTAGTCTCTAGGATAGGGGTGACCAACTCAAGGCATGTGTGCCACAAGTGGTACATGCAACACGTTGTTTGACACATGGCAGATCCCACAGGGAGCAGGGAGAACAGCACAAATAAGGCAGGAAGGAGAAGGCAGAGCAAGGGAGCAGGCAGGGGAAGGGAATCAGAGCGTGGCTCAGAGAAGGAGCAAGACTTACTTTGTGGCACACCAGCCAAGGAGGTTGGCCCGCAATGCTCTGAGATAGAGCTGTCCAACTTCTAAGTAGCCAGGGGCTGCACTCTCCTCAGGCTACACTAATAGGGACTGCACCAGCAGCCCCTACCACCAAATGTCAAAAGCCCTGGGGCCCACATGCCCCCTCCTTCCCCCACTGCACCATGCACCTGGGTATGACCCTGCTGCACCTGTGCCCCCTGCAAACCTGCTTATTGTTTACATAGGAAGACATTTTTATTTGTATTGCTAATTCTATGAAAAGAGCTTCATACCTAGTATCTCTGCAGCCTCCAAGTGCCGCTCAGGGTGCATTTGCGCCGTGAAAGCAAACACTGCTGGTGATGTGAGCACCACCGAAAGTCCATGTGGCTGGAGAAAAACCAAAACATAGTGCATGGTACTAACTGGGTGTCTTAACAGTGCTGCCGTCAGCTGGAGAGGCTGACGGGTTTTCAGGCTTGTTAACATAAGAATCATGTAATTGTAGTAATAGGAAAATAACTTGATTTTACCACTAGAGAATGATCCACGTTATAATCCTTTGCTTTGTAATTCTTCACCAAGCCAGAAATAGGGTAAGACATTCCATGGCTGGAAATTAAAGTAGAAAGGAATTAGTTAGGGCATTAGCCCAAAACATAGGAGCCATGCAGGGGTGGATCCAGTAGGGGTGCAATGGTGCACTTGCACCCAGTTTTTACTCCAGGTCCATCCGAAGTTTAAAACCAACTGCCTAGCAGTAGCAGCAGCACTTCTATTCAGGCAGCAACGAGGAAGTCAACTGACTTAATGGCTCATTAGAATTTGCTTGATTCCTTCTAAGCTCTTTACTGACAGGTGTTAATGACCCTCTTTCCTTGTAAATGATTTTTATTGGCTCTACTTACTTCTGCAATGCTGCTGTATGTTAGCTGCTCCTAGTAAGGTAGCTCACATTTCATAGCACTGCAGACCTTTTTATCTCTAGCCAAAAACATTAACTCAGGCGTGGAAATATTAACTCAGGCAAACATTACCCCAGGTATGGAAATCACTTTCAGTAAAGAATTGGAGGCACTGGCCAGTTGCTCAAAAAGGTCTGATTTTATTTTATGAATCTGAAAAAGAGATGTACATTTAACTTTAAGGACTCTAGGACTAATTAAACAACATCTTTGGTTTATTTTTTCCTAGTTTGCTGTGTTTTATATATATGATACAGTGTATCAATGCACATTCGAATAAAGGTTTTTTTTGCTTCAATCTTAAGTTGAATAATATAGCTCTAGGCCCCTACTTAAAAAGAAACTAGAAGCTTTATTAATAACTGGAGAAAAATGTGTTTTGTGTTATATGTGATGATGCACCACACCATCTGCACCCCCTTTTTCAAAATCCTAGATCTGCCCATGGAGCCATGGGTCAATTCCTTGGATGTACCAGGCTTCCCATGTGCAAGTGAAAGACATTTAGGTTCCCTTTGATTTCAATGAAACTGAATTCCATGAAAATTATATGCTTACATACCATGGATAATTCATGGAGCCACAGCCACTGTGTACCTCAGATCCCATTGAAAAAACAGATGATGGTATTTCCCTATCTAGAAGGGGAACTGTGAGGATGAAGGAACTATATCATTTTTGAGGCATTCAGATACTATGGTAACAGGGGCAGATAGGGTACCTTAAATAGCCAATGCCCTTATTTTGATCATAGTTCCTGATTATAAAAAGCATTTGAAAGATTAGGAAATGTGTTGGCAGTGATTCTTACTTGATCAAGCTACAGGCATGCAGGGAGGAGTTCTGAACAGGGGATTATCAATAATGTTTTTGCATAATTTTTGGCACAGGCTCTGATTCAGCAAGGTAATTAATCACATACACAATTTTAAACATGGCAGCAGCCCCAGGGACATCAAAGGCACTGCTCAGATGCAGTTGCATAGCTAAGGTGGGGTAATCTGGGCAGCAGCCCCAGGCACCAACTTTTTGAGGTGGGGAGAGTGGAAAGATAATAGTTGCTGTTGTAGCTGTACCACTATGCCAGCAGCAATGGCAGCTGGAAGTTGCCACTGCTCCTGTGCGTAAGCTACTCCCCGAGTACCCAGCTGCCCTGTTATATCCCTGCTCACATGTACTTTGCTGAACTGAATGCCATATAATCATTAGTTAGTTTGAATGGTTACTACTTAAATCTTTATCAGTATATCCCTTAATGTGTAACTATAGTTTAGTTTAGCCTGTAAAACAATTAACCCAGTCAGTGTGTCTGGCCTCACTTTAAGAAAGACACAAGGAGCACCTAAACATGTGCCCGACACCAGCTCCGACACATGCTAATTAGCATACTCCAGCAGCTCTGATGTCACGTATATTCAGTGTCCACACGCTTCAAAATGGCAGCAGGGGCACTTTAACTAAAGCTTGTTGAATGAGCTTTAGCTAAAGCGCTCCTGCTGCCATTTCGAAGTGCAGAACACTGAATACACAAGATGCTGTCGGCACTTTAATTAGAGTAGTTCCTGAGAGCCACTTTAATTGAAGTGCCCTCCCCTCCCCGCTAGAGCACATGTAAAGAAACCCAAGATGTTCTATGGACATACTCACTTTGTTCTCATAGGGCTACATAAGGCTGCTGAACAACTAGAATGGAACTATGCTGCTTTAACTGACATTTGAGTTTCTTAATAACCATGGCCTCTGCAAATAAGCAAAGTAAAGTAGGCCAAATTCTGGTCCTATCAACTTTCCTGGAATCAGACTCTGTTGTTACAGGGCCAGACTTTGCTTTCCCTATACACCAGGGGTGGGCAAAATACGGCTCACGGGTGAGATCCGGTCCACCAAACACTTCCCTCTGGCCCACGGAGCCCCTTCAAAACCCACATAAAGGCGGCTGCCTCTCTAAAAGCAGATGCAGCACCTCAGGCTGTTTCTTTGGGTTTTGGTTGTGAGGCAACCAACCATGACCTCAGCCTGACGCAGCTGGCCTTGCCCTGCCCCTGGCTCAGGCCACGTTTGCAGCTTGAGCGGGACGGACAGGCTGGGCCAGAACCTGCGGCACTGGTGAGGGGAAACAGCATCTGGGCTGGGTTCTGCTTTGCTGCACAAGACTGGAAAGGGCCCTGTCCTGCAGGTAAGCCCAGGAAAGCGGCTGCTGGGCAGGCTTTCCCCGTGCCATGCTGTGCTGTGTTGCTCGGGCTGTGCAAGATAGGGCTGCGCCGGCACTGGGGAGGGGAAGCAGCAGGTCCGGCCCAGTCAGCACCAGGGAGGACAGGTGGCAGCACAGCCATGTGCCGCTCGGGACAGGATGAGCCCAGCTGCAGCAGCAGGGGCTCAGCTGCAGCGGCAGGGGCTCAGCTGCATTTTCCCCCTGCCTGTGCTGGTCAGTCCCGAGTGGCACATGGCTCTGCCGCCGCTTTTGCTGGCTGGTGCAGACCCGACCAGACTTGCGACCAGACTTGCCCTGTCCCCAGCAGCATGTGGGAAGCTGGCTTCAGCTGCATACTGCTCCAGATGGGACAGACCCAGCCAGGTCTGCACTGGCCAGAAAAGGCGGCATGCAGCTGAAGTTGGCTTCCCATGTGCTGCTGGGGATGGGAGGAGCCCGGCTGGGTCTGCACCAGCCAGCAGAAGCAGCGGCGGAGCCATGTGCCGCTCAGGACGGGAGGAGCTTCTGCTCCCTGGTGCAGACCTGGCCAGGCCTGTCTCATCTGAAGCAGCATGAGGCTGAAGCCAGCTTCCCACATGTTGCTGGGGAAGGGGAGAGCCTGGCCGGGTCTGCACCGGCCAGCACAAGCGGCAGCGGAGCCTGTGCTGCTTGGGACTGACTGGTGCAGGCAGGGGGAAAGTGCAGCTGAGCCCCTGCTGCTCTGGCTGGCCTTGTTCCATCCTGAGCGGCACATGGCTCCACCGCCATTTCTGCTGGCCAGTGCAGACCCAGTCGGGCTCCTCCCATCCACAGTAGCACGTGGGAAGCTGACTTCAGCTGCATGCCGCTTTTTCTGGCCAGTGCAGACCTGGCTGGGTCTGTCCCATCCAGAGCAGCATGTGGCTGAAGCCAGCTTCCCATGTGCTGCTGGGGATGGGGCGAGCCTGACTGCGTCAGCGCTGGCCAGAAGCGATGGCGGAGCCACCTCCTTTTGGGACCAGCTGGCACAGGTAGGGGGAAAGTTCTGGGGGAGGTCTGATGCCCCTGAAACCCCACTGCTGGGGCAGGATGTTAGAGGGGTCACAACCCCTTGCTACCTGGTAAGTTGTGCAAGGGAGGGACTTCTGGCGACAAAGGTCAGGGGGCGGGACTTCTGGTCCCAAGATGGTGACCACGGGGTGGGGCAACTGAAGGGGCAGGGCTACCCATGCAGCCCTCGACAGTTTGCCAAAACTCATCAAGCGGCTCTCCGCCCAAAATAATTGCCCACCCCTGCTATACACAGTGGCCAAGTCTACATGAGATGCTGACTGTGCAATAGTGTCACGTGGCACAAAGTTTGATGTGATGCTACTGAGCAATAGTAGTGAGTTACTGCACAGTCAGCATCACCTAAAAGCCATTCAGTGATGCTACTGTGCAGTAACTTAGTTACTATGCATTCATTTAATATTCGTGTAGGCAAGTACTAAATGACTGTGCAGTAATGACTGCACAGTCAGCGCTTCGTGTAGACGCAGCCAGTGAGTAGTACCTTATTCTTTAAACAGTTCTATTTAATTTGGCAGGCCTGACTGCAGTGTAAAGTACTGTTTCATATGAATAAGGGTAGTCTGGTTCATAGCGTCTGATTACTTCACAAATTTAGGGAACACTGGATTAAGCCAGAAGATTTCTCAGCAGTTGGAAACACACATGAGGGAGGAGGTGGCTGGCAAAGACCTGATGATGATACTGCACTTACCAAAGATGAACACCTGCATTTCCAAAACCAATACCGGCAAAACCACTTGCTAAGTGCATATTAGCCCTTGCTTCATGGTCTTCAGAGTCTCTGATGGCTCTACAAGCAATAGAGATGATTAACACATATGCCATGTTTACACTGCTTCCAGGCTCAGCATGAGACTGCCACCAAGAAGCATGCCCCACCAACTTGCTCCTGCTTAGCCTAAATGAAAGCCTGGACACTACAAACAGAAACAACATTTATTTATACTGAACTGCTTCAGTGAAGGCAAAATCCCACTTTTCACCATCACAGAACTGAGTCCCTGGTTGAAATCAATCATCTCCACACTGTGTTTGTTATTACAATGTCATGGAAATAGCAGTTATTATTTTATCTTTTCCCCTACACAGGGGATTCTGGTTATTGTCATGAGTGCAGATCTGAGACCACTCCCAGCTTTTCCATCTACATCTGACAGGGTTTAAGGGTCCACCTGAGCAGGCAGGGGACCTGACCGCTCTCTCTCCTTACACTCCAGCCTGGTTCAGGAGCTTGACAATACTGAGAGATCCCAACCACAAGGAATAATAAATAGGCAGTCAAGCTAGTTATGCTATGCACAGTAAGGGAAAAGTGTGGATCCTTAGATTGGAAAAGCCAGAACATCTGAAAATTACCCAGGGGCTAGATCTTCATTGGTAAAGATATAATCCAATTTTCAATTAAGAAAAAGAAAAAGAGAATCAATTTAAACTGGGCCCTAAATGATCTTGAAGTAAGTTATTAACTACTTTCAGTGAAGGTATCATTTTAAATGCATCACAGATTAATACGGATCTAGTATTCTGTACAAATGTCTTCTCATCATGCTGACAGTCAGAGATATGATAGCAGCCTCGTGTCACTTTATTGAGTATTTTCTCTGAGGCTATTACAGAAAAATGACAACTAAATACTCCATTTTCATAGGATTGCTCTTGGATTTAGCCATGTGACTTCTAGGGGTGCACCAATAGAGATTTTTTGGTCTGATACCGACGGCCAATTTTTAATGAGCCATATCAGCCGATACCGATCTGATTGCTGATATGCAGCTGGGCATCTTGAAGAGCAGAGTCTTGCTAGTTAGTCTGTTGTGGGGGGAGGGAAGGGGCATGAGGACCCTGCGGTGAGGGAGGGAGTGGGGCTAGGGCATGAGGGGTGTGTGACCCCAGATCTGTGTGCAGGGTGAAGGCAGCCTGCTGCTGCAGGCTTGGGCCGGAGCTGCGCTGGGGGCAGGTGGCGGTGGCACTAGGAAGGGCTGCAATCACCCCGAAATTTGCCGCCGCCCACCCTGAGTGTAGCCCTGGCCTAGCCCGCCGCTGGGAAGAGCCTGGTGCCCCCTCCTGCAGCAGCAGCCCACCTTTGCCCTGCATGCAGATCTGGGGTCACATGCCCCCATACCCTCCAGGGGTGTGTGCAGTGGCAGAAGCTGCCACCCCTCCGTGCCCCCTGGATGAGTTGCTTGCGGCTTCATTCTGTACTCTGCCCCAGCTGTGCAGTGCCTGCCCCTGCCCTGGCCTCAGCCCCACTTTCTCCCTGACTGTGGGAGCCTCAATTTGCCCACTCCCTGCCATGCATCTTCCCTCACAACAGAATTACTGGCCGGACCCGGCTGCTCTCCATGCTCCTGGGCTGCGCTCCTGACCACCTGCATGCTGCACTGCGGCTGTGCGCATGCATAGGGCATTTATTGGCCACATCAGCCAAAAAAAGCCAATTGCTGATACTGTCAATTTTTCTTATATCGGTGCTGATCCGATATGGGACTGATGTACTGGTGCACCTCTAGTGACTTCCATTGCTGCAACTGAGTGTTATATGGCTAAAACTTTAGACACCACTTTAAAAAGTTATCCCACAAGGTCAAATTGGTGAAACCTAGCTTGGTTCCAATTTTATTTGATGTTATTTTACTGAGGGGCAAAGCTAAGGGCTAGGATAGAAAATGAACTTCTGATACAGTTGTTCACCTTATCTCAGACAAGGTTGGCTTTTTACCAGTGTTCATCACCAGGCATGGAATTGAGTCTGATATCAGTATAAATGTTTGCTAGACAGACATTACCTTTTCAAATATTTTGCCACAATACGCAGTGCATGGAGAGCCCAGACATCACTGATCGGATTGCTTCCCTGGTAAACCGGCCGGTTGATTGGATTTGAAGGGCAAGGACTGCGCATCTTATAAGGAAGAGCTGTGTATGATTCTAAGGCGTGGCTAAAATAGAAAGGTTTTTTTTAATAAAGACATTTTTATACTTGAAATGGAAGAACACCATTTTTCTCCAGCATATATCTCCTGCAAGGGATTTAGGGAGTTACAAACTCACTTCCACTGAATACACCGAGCTCCCACGAAAATGGCATTTCTTTCCTACAGGACAGGAGAAATATAAAGATGCCAGGACTATACATGTATCCCCCTTACTCCCTTCTTTTTTAAGGAGTTGACCTTGACAAAGCAAAATCAACACTATCAAAAGGAATTGACTGCTGTTATTTTTGTTTGCTGGCAACTAGTAGTTATGGTCATGATGAAATGTCCAGTTTTACACAAAAAACATGAAGGAAATACAAACTTTTAATTAAAGCTGCACCGATACATTGGTACATATTGTATCGGCACCAATAAATGGAAAATTGACATTACCGGCTTTTTGGCTGATGCGGCCAATGATGTTGCTGATAAATGCTGTGTGCATGTGCACAGATGCAGCATGCACGGGGCCAGGAGTTCCTAGCAGCTTGGAAAGCAGCATCTGGCTGGTAAGTCTGCTGGGGGGGGAAGGGACAGGGAGGGAAGAAGTATATGTGTGGGGGGAGCAGATCAAGGCCCCCATGGTGAGGGAGGGAGTGGGGCACATGCCCCCCATACCTGCTCCAGGGATGTGCACAGCGGCGGGAGCCACCCCAACCCTCCCTGATGGGCTGCAGATCTGTCCCATGCCCCACCCTGTCCTTGCAGCCCCTGCCCCAGCCCCAACCTCACTCCCTCTCTCACCGTGGGGGCTTCAATCTGCACCCCCATGCCCCTTTCCTCCCCCCACCCCTTTTCTGCAACAGACTTACCAGCTGACCACTGCTCTCCAAGCTGATGGGCTGAATATTGGCAATTGGATCAATATCGGCTGATTTGGATGCTTAATAATCAGCCACTGGTATTGGCCCCAAAAATCTTTACTGGTGCACCCCTACTGTTAAGGTGTTTCTGGATAAACAAGCTCAAGCATACCACAGAATATGATGTTCTACATGCATTTTCACAGTTAAAACCTTGGGCTGAATCATTCTGTTTGTCTTTCAAAATGGTGACTGATTTTTTAACCAAGTTATAGAATGGGGTAGGCAACATTTTTTGGCCAGAGTGCCAAAAAACCCACAATGTCTACCTTGGAAGGTGCTGGACTGCTAATATGCCGGAGCCTGGAGCAGCTGTTTGCAGCCTCCCAGCTGCCTGCTGGGAGCAGCCTGGGCTCTGTGGCTGGCAGCAGCTGCTTAGAGCCCGGGCTGGCAGTGGTGTGCCGAGCCAAACGGCTTTGTGTGCTATGCTCGGCACACGTGCCGAAGGTTGCTGACCCGTTATAGAATATAGACACACTGAAGCAAGACTAAAGCTGCTGGCTTACTGAGGGTGCCAGCAGTTCACAAACTTTCAGCAAAAGCTTTCATAGTTTCATAGTTAGTAGGGTTGGAAGGGACTTGAGCAGATCATCAAGTCCGACCCCCTGCCATGGCAGGAAAGAGTACTGGGGTCCAACGACCCCAGCAAGGTGATTGTCTAGCCTTGTCTTAAAGACCCCCAGGGTAGAAGCCAGCACCACTTTGCTTGGAAGTTGGTTCCAATCCTAGCTGCCCTGACAGTGAAGTAGCACCTCCTGATATCTAATCTGAATTTACCCTCTGCCAGCTTGTGACTGTTATTTCTAGTCACTCCGGTAGCGCTTGGGGAACAGGGACTCCCCCAGTGCCTGCTGGTCCCCTCTGACTAGTTTGTAACAGGCCACTAGATCTCCCCTCAGCCTTCTCTTGTGGAGGCTGAAGAGGTTCAGGTCCCGTAGCCTCTCCTCCTAAGGCCTGCCCTGCTGCCCC